ATGAAAATACTTATAATTAGTGCAGTACAGTAAAGAAAAAAACGTACATCCTGATTTGACATGTCCCAATAAGGCCTTTCTCCATAAGACATTACTTCCCACATTACAATTCCGTAACTCCACACATCGCTGGCTGATGTAAACTTGCGGTACTGAATTGCCTCTGGAGCTGTCCATCTAACTGGAATTTTTCCTCCCTATTTAAAACAAGGAAATTACAGTTATTGGTTAAACAAATACCAACTCAATTCAATCAATCCAGTGCAAGAGGGCTACTATTTATTTTATATTTGTCTCCTATATTACATATAAAGTACATAAAGGCTACTGAGCGTAAAGCTTAAACTGATGAAATAAGATGCTTCACACATGCAGCCACCTACACCCATTTACAGTACTTATTCAGCTGGAATACTGTTACAGACAGTAATGCTCATCTCAAATGTGATTAACAATTACATGCTATAGTATCAATTTTAACTGAAAGTTATTGGCATCAGTTCCCTGTTCCTTGCAAGTTTTCATAAGCCCTCGATAAGACAGTGAACTACACATGCTAAAAAAAAAAAATCACAATTAATTACAATGCAGCGTTGTATGATGGCATAGATTAGTAACAGTCACACTCCTCATCAAAGGTGTCCTCTCAAAGACTTTCAGAAAAGAAGATGAGATGTGTCTGACCAGATCTGCTACATTATAGAGTGCACTGGCAAACTCTTGTGTCAAATGTACTGTGGAGTCATTTTAAAACACTCCACACAACTGCTACACCAGAAAGTGCTGATAAAACTATACAAAATTTAAGTTGTTTGTACAGCCATATATGTATCGAAATTTGTCTGGTTCAGCAAAGACCAGCCAAATTTCAAACCATGTATGGGCAGGGAGGTTGTACAGAAGTTGATCTACCAATTGACTTCTGTACAACCTCCCTGTCAGAATTTCTCCACATAATCAGCACTTCAGGCTATAGCCGGCAGTGCTGATCAGTGTATTTTGATGGGGCAAAGTCTCCCTGCTGTCAGAATACAAAGACACTACAGTAAGGATTCCTCCATTAACCTCAAATGTATGGATGGGGGAATTGGCTTATCTTTAGGCTGCCTCTGTCTGGCTGAGTATCTGTTCCTGTGACTTTATTGGAATTTAAGTAATACAGGATGTTTAGACTCCATTGTTCTACAGATATCCAGCAGATGTGACATTGCCCCTTAGGTCTCTGGGTGCCAACTTAAAGACTAAACAGCAGCTGGAGGAAGCTGTTCATGTGCAGCAGCTGCAATGCTTCCCAATGCACCTGCTGCAAATTTTATACAACATATCAAGTTAACAGGCAGCTTTGCCTGTCAAATGCTTGGCTGAAGCCCCAATAAAAATGCTGTTCGGAAGAAGAGAAAAGAAAAAAACACATTGAGGAGGCAGCAGGATCGCTTCATAAGTACCCAACAGCAGCTGCTTAGCAACACTCTGAAAAGATTCCAGTTGAGACCTATGTAAGTGTGCATGTTCCATACCAGACTAATATCCATTGAATCTGGAACTTCTCATATGTATAATTGCACCAGGTCTGTGCCTTAGAGATTGTAAACATGAACGCTAGACATCAGGAGAGGTAGAAAATGGCAGCTTCAGCATGGCCTCTCCACAGAATTCCCTTAAGGCATTGTGTGCATGTAAACTGAATAGAAACATGTTTTGTAATTGTACTACAAAAATAAAAAAAAAATGAACTTACAGTGTAAGGGTGCAAAGGAGTATGCCCTTAAAATGGGAACTCACCCTTTTCAACAACCTTTGGTACTCTGGTTCCTTTCCTCCTCCCTCTTACAGTTTCATTTTTGTTTTTTTACAGTACAGTATATTTCGTTGCAGCACTTAATCCTTTCTGGGTTAGTGAAAGTGACAAAGGCCACCTACTGCTTCCTTGGATTGCCATGTCACACATCCCAGGCAGTGTTTTACAGAGGGTACGTGAAAAGATACAACAACCTTGTAAGTATGTCTGCACATGTGCCAGGAGTTCCCGTCACATGGAAGCCACAGGTCTCTACAATGCCCAGTTCATGCTCAGTTTCCCATTACCAAACCAGTTGAATGGAAGCACTGTTTTTGAATGGAGGACTGTTTTTCTCCAACCTCCACATGGAGCATAAAGAGGATACTTTAGGGATGCATTTAGATCTATGACGTCTCCACAAAGTGATCCTGTCCCCAAGTGGAAGTGAAAAGATTACCTTAGGGTTATATGATCACTTCATGGACCTCCAGAGAGTCATAAGCCTCTCTGATGAGGTCCCACAAATTCTCTCACATAGGGACTAAATCCAGTCCTCATGTGACAGTAAAAATAAACATTTTTAAAAAGTTAAAAATAAGAAAAAGAGGAATTTCCTCAAGGTTAGGATAATTTCAAACTTGCAACCTTGCTCCTGGTAAGAACTCGTCAGCCGCTAGATCGCAATGAAGGAAACAAAAAGGCAGATGAGGAATGTACCTGCTTTCATGCATCCTTCCCTCATCAGCAGAATGAGTATGGTGGGTACCCAACCCTCTTCAATACTTCCCATTGTCTGTTGCCTGCTGCTCTCCTCTAATTTTCAATGCTACAGGTGATGAGACCAGCATCCTTTTTGCTGGTCTCTTAGTAGACATTTTTTTTTGAATGCCAAGTGGAGAGACTTGTAAACTCACAAATGTTCACTGTTTTAACAACCAAAGACTTTCTAATTCTGGTGAGTCCGTCTTGTAATGTTCCAGTGTAGTAAAACATTTAGGTCTAAGAATGTTAAATTGCATATTAGACTGCATTATTTTAAGGCATCCCTTTAATTTTAAATGGGCTGTCAAAAGCAAATTTGCACTTTACCTTGTTTGAATGTACCACATTGCATAGTACTGTGTTGCGGCTGGCAGCTGTGCAGGTGCATTGTCCTAAGAATTTGGGGTGCCATTCATTTTGACCACACAGCAATAATGTGAAACAGCCCTAAAGGTAATCTAGAAAGCAGTAAACTGATCATCTTGATTGACATGTATTACAAGAATGCTTGTCCAAAATTGGAAATCTTTCATCAGGTACTACAGTAAACATATAAATTTGTCCAGAGTATTTAGCGGTTTGCCTGGTATTCCATTTTAACAACAAACATGGAATGAAAATAAAAAGTAAAATTACTGTTGTTGTGTATACTGCATCTGCATCATCTTCTATAACTCGAGATAATCCAAAGTCAGACACTTTGCAGACAAGGTTACTGTTGACCAGAATGTTTCGCGCAGCAAGATCGCGATGTACATATCCCATGTCAGCCAAATATCTCATTCCAGCTGCTATCCCTCTCAGCATCCCCACCAACTGTATGACGGTGAACTGTCCATCATGCTTCTGTAAAAAAAAAAACAAATCTCAGTCAAACTTTGAATCTACATATCCCATTGCAATATCAGTATTGGAAAACAAAGTGTACCCACTGATGTTGAACCGCAGATGAATGTTTGATCAGACTGTAATTGTTTTAAAATGAATGGGAATTATGAATAAAATGGATGGCTGTGCTGTTTGAATGGCTGAATGTGTAATTACCTGGGCATTTGATCCAGGGGTGTTTAGTGTTTGGACTTTTACAAAGGGCATTGTCTGAGTAGATCCTATACGTTTACCTTTGGGAGGTGAAGTAAACATTTCCAAAGATTTCTGAAGTGGAAAATGACCAGAGCTTAGTTTGATATATAGCTAATAAAAAAATATTGGTACAATACTTTGAAATTATTATAAATGTGCACATTCTTGTTGCCAAAAACTAACCTTCACATAGCAGCTGTAAGACTATTCTGTGCAGTGATCAAAATAATTTAAAAGTGTATCTAAACCCAAGAATAGAACTGTTTTGTATTTTATGAGTTATTTTCTTTAGCTTCACCTGGTGATCCTGACAGTAACATACCTCCTGTCGAAGGGTGACAATCCTCAATCACTGTACAGTGGGGTTTATTTACTAAAACTGGTTCACTCAGAATCTCATGCACCTGTGCATGGTAGTCAATCTGCTTCTAACCTCAGCCTGTTCAGTTAAGCTTTAGCAATAAAACCTGAAACTGAATAGTTTCTATGCAAAAGTGCATGAGATTCTGAGTGAACCAGCTTTAGTAAATAAACCCCTGCCTCTATCAAAGAGCAGTGAGGGTCAGGAAGTGTGCTACGACTACAGGACATCTTCCCCTCTACTCATCTCTATAGAAAGGATGTAAACTATAGTTAACAAAGACACTGGTTGTCTGATAATGTTTGATATTTCAGTGCAGTATTATCACCTTCATACATAAGGATAGGAGCTTAATGGACTTTAACTTATTGAACAGATACTGTATATCAAAACATTTTCAATTGCACATTTAACAAATCAATAAGTAGAAAATTAGAGAAGGTCATTCTTAGGGTTTATATACACTTTAAGTGGCAGGGGAAGCCAAGCATGATAATAAATATTCTAGGATTTTAAGATACACACAACAGTTACATGATTTTCAAAAGGGTGAATTCTCTGGGTAGCTTTAGATTTGTAAAAGAGTCATGGTTGATGGATCTTGGGCCATATCAGATGAGGAATTCTGCCACTGGCATCACCAGCATTAAAATCACTCATAAAAAGGAATAAAGCTCCTCCCTTCCTGGCCCAAATTTACTTGGTGAGGGAGCTGCTAGAGAATTGGTCTCACTAGTCCAGCTAGTGAGGGAGTGACTTCACAGAAAAGGGTAGGCAGTCTGTTGCCAGTGAATGGTTGCCAGTGTCAAGATCCCTCACCTGACATGACCCTATTAGTTGGACTGGATTGGCTATTTTCGATTACTACCTGATGTTTACAACCATGTAACTGCATGCAGGATTTAGACACTGACAATTTGGAAATAGGAATCCCTAAGCTGTAATTCTTATATCTTCCCTCATAAATACATTTAGATTATAAAAACATCTTTAACACCTACATATAGAACAATTTTAAAACAAATGGGAGTTATGAATATTATGGATGGTTGTGCTGCTTTGAATGGCTGAATGTGTAATTACCTGGGCATTTGATCCAGGGGTATTTAATGTTTGGACTTTTACAAAGGGCATAGTCTGAGTAGATCCTGTACGTTTACTTTTGGGAGCTGAAGTAAACATTTCCAAAGATTTCTAAAGCAGAAAATGATTAGAACTTAGTTTGGTATATATGCAATAATAAGTTGGTGCAATACACTGAAATGAATATAAATGTGCACTTTCTGGTTATTATTTCCTTTTTCCAAAAATTAAACCCCATAAGAGTTGTAAGGGTATTTTGTGCAGTGCTGAAAATGAAGTGCTTGGACACGGCAACTGTAAGATACTCACAACCACTAGATTATTTTCAGCTTATCCTACCAACACTGGCAATATTGCCCAACCATTGTGAAGTTTGTGGGAACTTTTAGACCTCTGTAGAAATTTATGGCTGATCGATGTTGAGGGAAATTCTCAGTTGAGCTGCATTTCTGGACAGCTACTAAATCTTCTAAAATATGTCTGGTGCCATCATGGGTTCTCAAACTAGACAAAAAAACTGTGTAATATAAGCAGTCTTGTCTGTGTAGCTGTTGGTCAATAAAGGCAATTGTTCATAATTTGGATTAATATGTCTGACGTCAGGCTGCCATCTTATCGTTACTACCATTTAACCACCTGTGTTGTTCAGAAGCGGACATGCTGGAGAATGGAACTGCTGCTATCCTTGTCTCTCCTTCAATAACCAAATTTTAGTTACCGTAATCTTTTATACCTTTATCTCTAATTATTCCATTAGGGAAACAAGACAGTTACGATCTAACTAGATGTATCAGTGTATACACACCTCAAGTAACCACTAGTTAAGCTTTGCCCTTGTTAGTCACTACATATAGATGGCCCAATGCTGTACTTTTATACCATAGATTAAAATATGAACTACATTTTGCATGTATATTGATCATGCTGTGCAGCTTTCATGTGTTCCTAAATGTACATAAGTCTATTGTTATTAAGTTAGATGGAGACAGAGGCGGACTGACAACTCATGGGGCCCCCGGGCAATAGGGGATCATGGGGCCCCTGTGTCCTTGCCCAAACTCAAAAAAGCCTATGATAAAGGTAGCAGGGGCATCTCAGGGGGCCCCCTTCTGACCCCGGGCCCTCGGGCAGTGTCCAAGTTTCCAAATGGTCAGTCCACCCCTGGATGGAGAGAACTTTATGGGTTTTGTGAACTTCTGATGATTTTCCCCTCCCTTATGCACCTCCCAATGATAGTTACAAAACTGATATAATTTTCTCTGTATGGAACTCTGCATAGTGTTTCTACACTTTTAAAATGATGCACTCTCTATAGATCTTTTTTTTTTAAATGTCAGAACCCTTATATAGATCAAAGTAAGAAACGTATTTCCAGTGACATAAGTAATAATGTGTAATATCTAAGGCCTCATGTACACTGCTGCTCCTAAATGTGAGTTTAGGAGCTTTTGGCATGTTTTTTGCCAAAGCCCCTGAACTCAGCTCAATAAACATCTGTGTCCATGCACACATAGGATTTTACTAGCCTTTAGGAGAAGAATCGCATTCAGGAGAGGAAAATTTTGGCCGAAAAACGTCAAATGGTGCAAAAAGGCATATAAAGGCACCTAAGTTCCAGCTGCGTTAAGCTCTTGGGAATTTATTAATTTTAATGGCAACTACTGCGGTACCATGTTTACACAATCTGGTGCAGCTCTGCATAGAAACCAATCAGTTTCCAGGTTTTATTGTCAAAGCTTAACTGAACAAACTATAGTTAGAAGCTCATTGGCTACCATGTACAGCTGCACCAGATTTTGCACAATCCAATTTAAGTAAATCTCCCCCAAAGACTACTGCAGGCCAATACTGGCAGACTAACTAATCCCTTGTTAAATTATTACATGACTGACCCATGAAACAACGCTTAATCTCTAGGTGGAAATGTTAGACTGGTAAAATATCCCAGTACATTTGCAATGAAAGTAAAGCACTCTTTAAATTAACTTGCATCCAGTGTCTTGGTATTCTGTTACTCCAATTTTGTTTGTACGTTTTATTAAACTTGTCACAGCAAAGCAAGTGAGAATCCAGCAATAACAAAATTATCATGTCAGCGTGACTGAACATATTATCCCACTTATGCTTGGGGAATAAACACTTAAGATACAGAAAACTATATTGTTTTCAAGTTTAGTTATTTAAGCATTTTGAATTCACTGACTGGACATTTGTTTGAAACAAACAAATAATTGGAACACTTCCTGCTGTAGCCGTGGATGTTTTAAGAACACTGTCTAACAATGATGAAACCTCACAGGAGCTTTATCAAATCGATGTGGAAAGATATCTGCAAGTAAAAAATACCAGTCATGGATGTGATGCAGCCCCTGGCTCAACAAAAAGCAGATAGGGCTACACATGACCAATTAGGAGTGAATATATACTGTAAAACAGACTCACAAAGCGTATCAGCTCGGGTTCACACTAGATTCAACTTTGAAATCAAGTGACTTCACTTGAAGTTGCACGATTTCAAAGTCACATGTCAACATCATGCACAGATGTCCATGCAAGTCACACCTGAAATTCCAAAATATATTTTTTTAAATATATTCTTCAGATTTTTTTTAACAAATAAAAAAGTCATGTTAACATATATTTCTACATATATATATATATATATATATATATATACATATATATTTGCAAATGCATTCCAAAAATGTAGTTTTGTATTTTTAAAGACATACAGTGTATTTGAAATGTATTTTCTAAAATATTTTTCATATATTTTGTAATAAAAATGCATTTCAACATGCAGTATATATATATATATATATATATATATATATATATAAATATATTTTGAAATATATTGAATATGGACAAAATTGTAGTATTTCAAATATCTGGCAATATATTTGGGAAGAATACTTTTAAAATATACCGTATTTCAAATATATTTTTCTTCCATGTGGGTGTTAACCAGTGCTTAGAGTTAACTGACTAGATATAAGTCTAGGTATTTTCCCACAGTGTCTCAAGCAAGATGTAAGGAAACATTTCATGAGACTTACAAGGGAATGAGCAAGCAGCACGATCATTCTACAGTGCAACTTTGAGATGTGTCCCTACCCACTCCTGATAACAGTTTAAAGTAAACCTGCATCCCAAAAGTACAGGGCTGCCACTGCTGACCTTTTTCTGAAAATGTTGGTTGACTTGCTGTTACACTCATCTACCGGTTTTAATACTAATTTGTATCAAGTATGCAGTCAGGGAAAAAGTCAGACGTCCTTAGCTGCATACTTGTTCTACGTCACCAATTCAAAACACTGAAGTCAGAGAGACATTATGACAGCCAGGCAACTAGTTATTTCATAAGCAGGGGTCATAAACAGCATCAACAGTTGTCAATGATAGCCTGCACATTTCTCTTGAGAAAAGTTTCCTTTAATACTAATGTGGATTCCTGTGCTTCTAAAATCCACAACAGGGCTTAGCTAATGTAAATCAAAAGAATAAATACGAGCGCATCTATAAAGTAGCAGCTGAACATAAGGTACCAATCACCCTCAAAACAATATATATCACAAGATGCAGCGCTATAAACTATATCATATATGCATGGATCAAAGAATCAGTCATGAGTGACTAAACAGTTGAAAGTTCATAAAATAGGTGACTTTAGTGCTCTCTTCTACTTTATATCCTCCTGATGGTCAGGCGTTTGTGCAGAATAGTGCTGAAGGGGTGCACACTCACCAGAACGCACAGATATATGAGCGTTTAGTATAGATTCCCCTTTAGGATCATCGACTGGACACGCTGTGATATTATGACAACCACCTTCCAGACCTCCTAGATGTTCCTGTATATTCCCTGGTTTAGGTGACCTGCGGACTTCTCCTTAGGATCAGCATACGATTCGTACCCCACAAAGAGATGAGTGGCAGAAATGATGGCTGTCACTACAACAGCATGAACGCCCCTGTGTTTAAACAGAAATTCAAAAGGTGCACATGTCTAGCAAATGACTGTATCAGTAGGTGTCACTCTGTCTAGTCGGGCTTTAGATCTAAAGACCTGGTTCACTCCGGTTCGACTTCAGGTGCAACATTCCATTTACAAATCACACCTCTAATGGAAGAATATTTGCTCCTTGTGAGCTTTATTTCACTAAAGCCCGACCAGACAGAGTGACACCTACTGATACAGTCATTTGCCAGACATGTGCACCTTTTGAATTTCTGTTTAAACACAGGGGCGTTCATGCTGTTGTAGTGACAGCCATCATTTCTGCCACTCATCTCTTTGTGGGGTACGAATCGTATGCTGATCCTAAGGAGAAGTCCGCAGGTCACCTAAACCAGGGAATATACAGGAACATCTAGGAGGTCTGGAAGGTGGTTGTCATAATATCACAGCGTGTCCAGTCGATGATCCTAAAGGGGAATCTATACTAAACGCTCATATATCTGTGCGTTCTGGTGAGTGTGCACCCCTTCAGCACTATTCTGCACAAACGCCTGACCATCAGGAGGATATAAAGTAGAAGAGAGCACTAAAGTCACCTATTTTATGAACTTTCAACTGTTTAGTCACTCATGACTGATTCTTTGATCCATGCATATATGATATAGTTTATAGCGCTGCATCTTGTGATATATAGGGCTTAGCTAATGGACTACACAGCTATGAGGAAACAGACAGATACTTCTGTATAAGGCTATTTTAAATGTGCAGAATAAACATGTTCAATAAAAAAAAAAAAAAAAAATTATATTCCGTATTATTTCCTTCCCGCACTTACAACTGCTACCTCACAATAAAGGAAGGCACGTTGGGCAGAAGAAAATTAATAAAATTGTTGTCATTTTCAGTATTCAGTCACAAAGCCCAGAGCACAATCACTCCAGATCTGCTTCCACATTTTATCTTAGAGAGTAGTATCCTACAGTAATGGAACCCCTTGCCTCCCAGAGAGCCCCGAATAGCTTCTTTCTACTTTAAAGTCATACTCTACCTTTCTAGCAAATGTAATATTAAAATGACAGGGCTGGAAAATAATCAACTTTGTAAATAATTTAAAGCTGCGAATATAAATTGTTTAAAAACTTTGCTTTTTGCTATGGAGTAAATTAGACTCATGGAAAGAGTCTATGCAGTCATTATGCAGATAATCATAAATAATTATAGACAGCTGGGTCTAATTTACAGAGAACAGTTTTAAATACTACTGGACAAAATGAACATTTCAAACCCCCTTAAGGGCATAACAGAATGAAAATGTTTAATAGTATTATTTATAAACTTGATGATTTCATGTCCCTGGTCTAAAACAGCAACAGTTTGAAAAGCAGAGTAATGCTTTAAAACACTATAGTTCTAAAAACTCTTGAGCAGTACTAAAAGTAGTCCAGGATGCAAAAAGCAATTTTCTAAATGTTTGTAATACCAGTTTCATGCTGAATTTTTTTATTTAAAAAAGGGAGAAATAGCAAAACTACTGATCTATGGAACACCGTTGCTTTATTGGATTCTAAACTTAACAAAAATGTATACAAATATAACAATATACAATTAACTATCTTGACATTAGTAAAACTTTTAGTATACCCTTCCAAGCAATGGCTATATCAGGAAGAATAAAACATCACTAAGATTCAACAAGGGACTGTCCATTTTCCCTTGCCAGCCATGGAAATAAGACCTTAGACCACTAGGCTGCTTCAGACGCTGATGTTTAATTTAAAGGAATGGGTTTCTTATTACGTACCAATCAATACGGCTGAAGCTAAATTAAATGTAAACATATATACTATGCATATTTATGAAACACTAAACATTCATTCTTAAATATTATGTGAACAGCACTCACCCTTAAAAATGCATCTAGAGCTCCATTCTCCATGTATTCAATTACAATCATTACCGGCTTTCCTAAAAACATGAAGAGTTAAATGTTTGTGAAACCTTCACCAAACCAAGAACGAAACTGGTTTTGATAAGAAACATCTTTCTGGACTTGAAAGTTTCCAGTTAAAGAGTAGCAGAAATTGTAACAAGATAGGCAGTTTTAAACACATCAGGGCAGAGCAAGGAAATAATTTGAACATATAAATAATCAGAGTCGACATAAACTGGAGATAGCACTTTGAAATGTGCTTTCTTTCTATCTGAAGAATATATAGCAAGCATGGGTAACATAAATCCAAGAGAAAGCCTACCTTTGTTTAGTAATTTCAATAACATCCATTTGTACATGATAAATATTTACAGCAAGACTGAAAACATTCCACTCAAGCGTAGTAAAACCTCAAAGCCACAAGTGGGAGATTTGCTTACCGCGTGTTACCACTCCTTCCAAATGAACAACATTTGGATGGTCAAACTGGCCCATTATACTCGCTTCACACAAAAATTCTCTTCTTTGCTTTTCTGTATAGCCAACTTTTAGGGTTTTTATAGCAACGGCAACATCTCTCTTTCCGGGAAGCTTTAGCCGGCCACTACACACTTCACCAAATTCTCCTACAAAGAAAAAAACAAAGAATAACTAGATTTACTTTTATTTACGTTTTTAAAATACTGATTCGGTTACTGGTCTTCTGATCCACCTACACTATATTGCCAAAAGTATTGGGACACCTGCCTTTACAGGTACATGAACTTTAATGGCGTCTTAGTCAGTAGGGTTCAATATTTAGTTGTCCCACCCTTTACAGCTATAACAGCCTCAATTCTTCTGGGAAGAGTATGTCTGTGGGAATGTTTGACCATTCTTCCAGAAGTGCATTTGTGAGGCCAGGCACTAATGTCAGGCAAGAAGGCCTGGCTCGCAGTCTCCGATCTAATTCATTCCAAAGGTGTTCTATAGGGTTGAAGACTGTGCAGGCCAGTCAAGTTCCTCCACCCCAAACTTGGTAATCCATGTCTTTATGGACCTTGCTTTGTGCAATGATGCACAGTCATGTTGGAACAGGAAGGGGCCATCCCCAAACTGTTCACACAAATTTGGGAGCGTGAAATTGTCCAAAATGTTTTGGTATGCTGATGCCTTAAGAGTTCCCTTCACTGACACAAAGGGGCCAAGCCCAACCCCCTAATTCAACCAAACATGATAATCCCCCTCCACCAAAATTTACACTTGGCACAATGTAGTCAGGCAAGATCCGTTCTCCAGGCAACCGCCAAACCCAGACACGTCCATCAGATTGCCAGACAGAGAAGTGTGATTCGTCACTCCAGAGAACATGTCTCCACTGCTCTAAAGTCCAGTAGCGGCGTGATTTACACCACTGTATCCCACGCTTTGCATTGCACTTGGTGACGTAAAGGCTTGGATGCAGCTGCTAGACCATGGAAACCCATTCCATCAAGCACTCTATGCACTGTTGTTGCACTAATCTGAAGGCCACATAAAGTTTGGAGGTCTTTAGCTAGTGACTCTGCAGACAGTTGGCGACTTCAGTGCACTGTGCGCTTTAGCATGTGCTGACCCCACTCTGTCATTTTACGTGGCCTACTACTTCATGGCTGAGTTGCTGTTGTTCCCAGTTGCTTCCATTCTGCTATTATACCACTAACAGTTAACTGTTGAATATTTAGTAGCAATGAAATTTCACGGATGGACTTATTGCACAGTTGGCAACCTATCATGGTACTACGCTTAAATTTACTGAGCTCCTGAGAGCGACCCATTCTTTCACAAATGTTTGTAGAAGTCTTCATGCCTAGATGCTTAATTTTATACACCTGTGGCCATGGAGGTGATTGGAACACCTGAATCCAATAGTTTGGAGGGGTGTCCCAATACTTTTGGCAATATAGTGTCTCTCTAGAGCAGACTTTCTCAACAATTTCAACACAGAGGAACCCTTGAAATAACTTTCAGGTCTCAGGAATCCCTGCTAATAACTACTATATCTACAGCTCATAATACATTAGCATGGTTGTCTCTGGAAATATGCTCCTAACGCTTATGGTCATTTGAAAGAATTCCCCCCATTACTAATAGCTAAAAAGATCAACAGTGTCAGTGAGAATCTATCTGAGAGGCAAAAATTGATAATTGTTCAAAGAACTCCTGAAAACCTCTGGAGGAACCCTATGGTTCCACAGAGCTTTGGTTCAGAAACCATGCCCTATAGTGTGTGAGCTTGCATTAAAGTCAAACTCCAAGAAGTACGTTTTTAAAAAATGGTTGTGTCTCCTGTGCGGTTTAAAATTGGAAACACTAATCACCTTCTCTGTGATTCAGCGCTGCCCTCCATGTTCTCTTCCACCCTAGTCTCTGCTTCACGTCTGGGTTGAATGAGACCCAGAATCATTCAACCATTTGCAATGAGCCCAGGATGTCCTAGGCACACCTTTGGAGGTTTGCCAACATGCAGTCTGGGCTCAAAGTGGAGTTCTGCAAAGAACAACACTCAAAATGTCAAAACGTGAGCACTAATCCAAGAAGCAGTGAGGACCACCCACCACAAAATCCCCACTTACCATATGACAAACTGGAAGAAACCTGCATTAATGTATGTATGCTGTATTTTTTTAAATGTATTTTGATGATCGGGGTGATGGGATTTAATAAAAAAAAAATAGTAGAGATTGTTCACTTATCTAAGTGAAAAAAGAAAGTTAATTATCACATTGAATACCTAATCATAGATATAGAAATGAAAAAGTAAATCAACATCTATGTATCTGTATCACTTTGCTTTGGTCTCATAAGTCTCCCTGCATGCTGTATAATTTTGTTAGCCAGGCACAGAAAAGCATTCATGCAGAGAGCAATCATCCCAAGTCAGAAGGGAAAAAAATGGGGGGTGATGCATAATTGTTCAGCAAAAATGGAAAATGAGGGAATATTACATCCTTTATCATGTCGGAAGGTAAAAGGTGGCTAGGGGTTAGAGTCATTAAGGGCTGGAAGCTAAAGAACATTCATTACCTATGTGAAATTACCCCACGGCTCCGGTGTTTAAACATACCCTGCATAGGGACCCTGTCTGTGTCAGGGAAGGAAGTCCCCAAACACCCTAATTCGCATTAATTTCTAGGAGGTGCAGCTTGACACAAAGCTAATACTTCTCTGAATGCTTGTGTGTATTGAGCTATTCATCTTAGTACACCCTTTCCAGCTCAAGCTTTCGGAACACTAGTTTAATAATTATACCATCGCTAGTTATCAAAAAGTCATTTTTCTGTGAATATTATCTACATAATTTGCATACTTCTTTGATTTAAAAAAATTCGAACATTGTAAAATCTGTTATTTTTCAAGCAAATGCTAGATGTAAAATAAATGAGGTTTAATGCATGATATAAGTTCTGTGGTAGGCTATATTTAAACTGTTGTGGCCAAAAGATGTTTTCTAATACAGTTTTATGGAACCTACAAGTGATGTGTAAATTTATATTTTAGTCTCAAAGATATTGTATGAATAATTCAATTAAATTCCAATATGGTAAATAAGCCCTGTTACTGTCTTCTAATGCAAACAGACAACATCCATGAAAGAACAGCAATAAACAAGATTTACTGCCATACCTTTAGTGCTCATAAATTTTTACTGAGGAATAAAATAAAAATGCACTTGATTTTTGGTGCACCAGCATGGTTGTGTTTGTGAAAGCTGTGTATGTTATTTAAGGTTTACCTCACGGAGCCATCACACTGAAGCTGTTTGTACCAAGCCTCAGGTTTGCAATGACAGACAATAAACAAAAGGGCATTTCAATGAAGTCACACAATCTCTTAAGGCCTGTTGTTGTTACGAAACTCTCTTATCACAGATTTCACAAAATGACATACCCACTGTATAATTTAGCGATCCTATCCCGCCAGAATTAAGCATTGCATCCTGTCAGTTGATAGTGAACCTGATATTTAATATCTCTGCCCTAATGACAACAAGCTTTTGTTTTTTAATCTTGTGTTCAATTATATATTAAGTCAGGAAATGAGATTAGCTGTTTTCACCTGTAGGATTTATCTAAATAGCGTTGTTCATTGGATAACTTCCTTAGTCCTATATAATTATACCTAAATGTGTGTGCTGGGAAGCAATTTGGCATTTAACATTCATTACTTTGTTGCCTGTGGCGGCAGAAGTATGTGTCTGTCAAAAATGGCATATTAAGTAATAAAGATGTGCGCCACTACTGATAATATGTATAGAGTGTGTTCGCATGTTTGCATAGTGAATTATCATTTTTGAATAGTGCGGCTATCTCCATGTATCCTTGTTATGATTTGCGCTATAATTTGGCCTTTACGCAGAGTTGTGTATTACATGTCCCTACAAACACATTGGTGAATTCTGATGACATTCCCATATGGCATGTATAAAATGCTAAAATGAATTGGACATCGTTTAGTATTTCACTTTGATAATGTATATGCAGGATTGCTTTTGTAAAAACAACTATGTCCATAGTCAGTCCTAAAGAAATGATCAAACCACCGAGATTTCCTTCAGATGATATACTCATATTATCTGAATCATGGTGATAGGTTTTTCTCTGTACTGACATGGAAAACAGCAGGTTATATGCTAGACATTTTCAGCCACCAATAAAATGTGTCTGTTGTAGAAGTGCACCATGGGGATCTGGCCAAATAACTATCATTTGAATCTGTTAAAATTTAAAGTGCTGAATGAACTTTGTCTAATATCCATGGGTAATTTAAAGGTAATATGACTTGCAATTTCACCCATTAGACTACAGAGTTATTAAGCCAGAAGTTGCTGCCACAACTGGCAGTGCTCCCATGCTGGGACTTTCACAATATAAGGGATACATCAGACCAAGGAAGGGTCACAACAGCTCTACCACAAGAGAGGCAGATGTTTACTAAGCTGTTTTTGAATATCAACCTAAAATGTAAGCTATTGTGGCATCCACCATCAGAATGTTGGGTAGCAGAAAACAGCTTATTACATTGTATAGAAATGGATTACTAGCTGGAAACAATTTTGAGCACAGTTTGACCAAGATTGTCATTGTAAAGAGTAGTTTTTATTTGGATGACATGAAAATTGTTTTCATATTTTTATTACAATATTAAATATTGCTGATTTCTAGAACTATATTGCTGGCAAGGTCAAGGAATCAAGAAAATCAAGAAATCTTATTATTTTTATGTTGCTGTGTCAGATATTGGTTTGTTCATTGTAGTATATTGATCTCTATCTCCAAGCCTTGATCTTGAATGAAATATCCAGAAAACCTAAATACTGCATTGGTATTTCTAGACATGAAAAAGACAATACAATGATTTGTAATGGATCACTTTGTTAGGGATTTACTGACATGAACCTGACAATATAAAATGATCCCTACTCACTTGTTCATCTCTTTAACATGTACTTGATCTAAGCATAATGAAATTGAAAACTATCAACATGGACTTCACCAGTGACCCAAATGGGTTAAAGATAACAAACGTAAAGGGGCTGTCTGTAGACAGCAATGAAATAGACATGTTAAAGCATAAAAGCCAGAACCTGACTGGTTAGGCAAAACCTTCAGGTGACCTTTAGTTCCTTTTTTTGCATATATGTTTGTAAACTGGTCGGTGTATATCAGTTTATGATAAGAAGAGTGGAATCTTTTAATAACAGTCATTTGTTCTATTAATGCATTTAAAGAGCAAAATATAAATAATATTAACACCTACTCCATACCACACACATCAAAACAATAGGACTTTTCACAAGCACAGCATATTTCTGTATTTTATAAGCCACTTTGCATTTAGAAATTCTGTTAAAAAGAAAATGTTTTACTTTTGAGCTGTAATTATTTGCCTGTCATATTATGTTTGATATTCCATCCTGGCTAAATGGAAATGTTGAAGAAAACAGACACCTCTGACTTACCTGAACCAATCACACGCTCAATTTTTATACAGGATGCATCTAACTCCTTGGCAAATTGATGGACAGCTCTATTTGGATCTTCGTATGTTTCAGGGTCAATGTAGGTTTTGGTGCCTGGAAATTTAACTGTAATGATGTCAGAAAGCAGAACGGTGATGAAGGAATGCACACTGAGCAGCTATCTAGGATTGTCATTTTTACTGAGAGCTGCTAGGCAGAAAGTATTTCTTTCATGAAGCCAAATACATGTAAGAATCAGGATAATGTGCAAGCGCAGCATGATAACCAGTATGTGTACACATGCATATTAAACAAGATCCGGAGGAAAGAAAGTTAAATCTCAGCATACTAATATAGCACAGTGTTATTTGTTGAGTAACCCAACAGCTACAGTAACATTTGAGAGCTGCAGTGAAAATTACTTTTACGATGCTGCCTGGCTGTGATATCATTCAAAAATATACATTTTAATGTCTTAATTTCCACTACTCCAATTTCCTAAGTGAGGTAGAAACTCAATCACTTGATAATGTAGTTACCACCAACTAGATTGTGCATATACTCTTTGATTATGTGAATCAATTTAAAATTTGAAAAGCATGTACCATAAAAAATACAGGCAGCATCATTAAGTAAGCCCAGTGCAACTGTAATGGGGCTCATTTACAAATTAAAAAAACAAGGTAAGTAATGCACTGTAGCAAGGGTTTTCGGTACATGTGAAATTGATACAATTAACTTGCTAATCATATTGCTATTACATTTTAAAAGCAAAAGAATACCCACAAATCTTAACAGCCCATCAGCTTTGTCTAAAAATCAGTACTTCAGACTTCATTTGATAATGGAACTTTTTTTTTGTTACAAAACTTGCAAACCCGTATTCAAATAAAATATTGTGGCTGGAGTGATATTAAAGTGCCTTCAGGAAAAGTTAAAACTTTACTCCAGTCTCTGATTTCCAATGCATAGACAGGGCATCCCAACACACTCTCACAAACACACAATTGGCTAATATGTAATAGAGGGACACTGGTGCTCATGTTCTGTACAGCCACTCCTTGAACTAAAGGCTGATACAGAAATAGAAAGCCACCCCTAAAATTTTTCCCATAGCTGAACATGCCTGCCAATATCACAGGACATGTAAGCTTTTTAAACAGCTAAAAATCTTACATTCATGGTCAAATGTTGTTTGCTATAGAAAAAGGTCCTCTTATGCACAACACCACGTTATACATGCAAGCAGCGATTAAAGTCAAAAATTTGATATCCAAAACAAAACAGTGTTTCACTTTCAATTCTGTTTTTTGACAGGGCAATTTTCAAATGAATCATTTAATGGAATAACAGGGGTAAGGAATGAAAGCATAGAAAGGTTCACCATGAATGTTTGCATGAATATGAATGCATTCATAAACTTCCTGAAATCCACCGCATTTATTGTTTTTGTTTATTTCTATATATTTGTCATGTTTTTTCACCAGTTTTATTATTCTATCTAATTGTATCCTAACACTTCCAGAATGAATACAATAGCATAAAAAGAAAGCACAGTTGAATAAATTAACGATTTCTTGAGACACCAGCATCTCTGACTTCTCATTTAAATAAATCAGATTTTTGACAATGTTGAGCAACAGTTTGAATGGAATGCCAGCAATTAATTTATCTTTCAGCTCTCATTTGCATAATTCAATCACTTAGTCTGTATTTTTTTGCTATCAACACCTTGCCCATATCTGTTAGTGAGTCTGAAATAGATGAATGAAGGAGAGAGAGTGGGAGGGCATAGGAAACAATAGGTTAACCTCCTACAATGTCATTTCAGGCAGGCAGATGGAGAACGAGCCACACTCTCGTTTTCCATGATAAGCGGCCTGGATTCCAAGTAACCTCGTGCATCTCAAATGGGCCTCTGATGGTTCTTTATTCAAGCTGTCATAAAACATTTTGACAGGAGAGAGCTACTCTGGCATACCAACATGAAATAGTGTTGGCTGGGATCTCAAAGCATTGTTGGTAGGAAACCATAGGAGGAAATAAAAATGTAAATTGCAATTGCTTTAGTAAACAGAGCTATTGTTTTTAAAAGAGCTTGATTCAATGAAAGATGGAAGCGCATAGAAAATTAAGGTACAGTGTGGACCTCACTAAACCAAGTTTAATGCTTTTTTCCACAAGGAATAAAATCAATAAAAAGGCATTCATACTCCTGAAAATTTGCTTTATACAAAAGAACAATAACACAAAACCAACTGTAAATAGCTGGTGACCACTGTGTTCTGTTGCTGCTGATGCAGTCAGATTAAATTAATCACAAACCTTCCCTTCAATGCATGCTGACAAACTGGTTCAGCAAAAAAATAAAATCTGGTTCTTTCCAAGAATACTTTGCTTAGAGCTGTGAAACTGGCAATCATGGATGCATAGGATAACAGCAATACAGCTAAGCCACAATTCAAAAATGCTTCCTAACTTAACTCAGATTAACGTGATATGAAAGCATTTTAGATTAAAAAATACTAACAGAAATGTTACGTAAAAATGATTTTTAGAATGTAATTCCATTACAAGCAAGCAATCAAAGCAAATATAGATTAGGATGTATTCAATGGGGTTGATTTTCTAACGGCAAAGAGGCTGCAAGTGCAATTGCTCCAGAGCTTAGCAAATGAGGTAAAGTATCACTTTGCAAAGAAAATCCAATCACATGGAAGAATTAAAAAAAAAAGCAGCATTGTTTTCTTGCACATGATTGGATGATAGAAGTCAGTAGAGCTTCTGCTCATTTACTATCCTCTGGGGCAACTGCAGAGGGCACAGTCTAAATCAACACTAATATGTTGGTTTTTTTTTTTGGTTTTTTTTAAGTGATGCACGTTATATATACATGTAATGTATCTTTTTTTTCTCCATTTTGGATAGAGTAGAGGATTACAACCTCTGCCTGATTTTTACTGTTATCTGAAGCTTAATTAGGAGGAAGCTTCTTTGTACAACTCCTAGCAACAGTATTGTCACTAGAACAACCTTCAAGTAACAAGGCAGCAATAAAACACTTTCTTTGTTAGAGTAGGGAAAGCTTGAACTCCATCTCCAATCAACTTTTTATTGCTATCTGTATTCTCATTGAAGTTTTTCCCTCATTTCTTGACTTAAAGTGTTACTAAACCCACAACAGTAAAACCAGTCTGTATATGCGGTAAAGCATGCTTGTTATACCCACTGTAAAACTTAAGGGGTTAATCCTCTACATTGTGTAAAAAGGCTGTTTTAAACAAGAGGAGGGGCAGAGAAGTCAGGATCAATGTCCATACTGATAAGGCAGACTGAACCTGTTGCCCTTATGCACATGCCCAGTTTGGTTTGTATTGCTAGAGAGCTTTTTTTTGTCCTTCGGAGGTTGCATGTGATCAGCACAGGACCAATCAGCACTGTCTAGACAGAGGTCAGGGGTTTTGCATTCTCCTAGAGCAGAAAGAAAACTCCTACGAGCTTTAACCAGTGCTCAGCTGCAGTCACAAGATTGTTCTAATTGCTGATGAGAAAAGGTATTTATCAGTTTATATTACAAAAATAATTGCACTTCCATGTTCTGTGTACTGTGGGAGACCTGATATAGTGAATGCAGGATCTTGGGTTTAGTAACACTTTATGTTGGCCATAGACAAGAAAAATGCTTGAATCACCCATCAACACAGTCAGTGTTGATGGGGAAAATCCCATCTGTGGAGCCGTTGTGTTCTCCCGGCAGGGTGCAGGGAGAACACAGTGACTATGGCTAGCAGTTATATTAGTCCATGCTGAACCGACATTCAAACTGTCTACGTTTGGCTTTAATTTCAAGGTTGTACCTGGAATAGAACATGTGTGTGTATGTACGTGTGTGTGCGTGTGAAGAGGGGGAGGAGGAAATAATTTCTATGAATTACCTTAATTAAAAAAAAAAAAAAAAAAAAAAAAAAAAAAAACTTATTCACTAACCCTTTCCCCCATCCAAGAAAACTTGGGCATGTCATTAAGGAGACACCCACTAAGCATGAAACAGTTTTTTGACTTGGGATTTAAGCATACTGTATAGAGAAGAATTTAGATTGTGTACCGATGGTAGTGGTATTAAATACTAACAGATGTGCTTAAAAGGTATTTTATTGAATGTGAAGGCGTTCACTTGTGTAAAAGTAAGTCCACAAGATCTTTAACAGTCGTGCTTTTATACATTTAAATATAAATGTACAGTACACATACTGTAAATGTCATACGGCTTATAAAATCTTGTAGGAAGAAATTCAAATGGGTAAATATCTAAAACAAGATTGCCATCATTAAGGCATGAACATGGGTAAAGTAGCTTACTGTATCAGCACTTTCTAATTTCTGTCATAAATATAAATGAATTGTGTTCTTCTTCATCTAATTTCCATGTCCTCATTTTGTCTTAGAAGATTGATGCTTGCAGATATTGTCTCTGCTCTTATTTATAATTGCTTCTTCTTCCTGGGATATTTCTCAATTGTGAGTCAAATAGCCATCCACATTAAATCTAGAATAAAGAATTGGGCCAAGAGCATGTCATTTTGCTCATATGCAGCCTGGTAAAAACTGTAGATTTTGCTAATCCCCTACTCTGGGTAGTAAGTTTCGGCCTGTTTGTTTTTCTAACATATGCAGCTAAATCATATTACAAGTGCTTATTAGAAATGTTTTTTTGCTAATTGTTTGCATAAAGAGCTCCATGTTTAGCAAAGTTGCAATGATTGCATATCATTAAGATGATTGACAAGAGACTGTGAAAAAACAGCTATAAGCAGAGACTACAGAAGCTTGACCACTGACCTTGAAATTACTGAATCTCATGGGAGGTCTTTAAAATGGTGTGAAAGTAATAATCACAGAAATGAACAATATGACTATTTGTTTGAGGACATGTATATGGGCTAAGTAGAGTAAGGTTCAGCTATGATTTACTGAGTTCCCTTGACACACTAAAATCACTCTTCTCATGGAGAAGATTAATTACTGTTACGAATTTATAACATTAGCAAAGTAGATGTTTCTTGAAAATAAAGAAAGCAAACACTTACAATGAAAGTAAAGTTCTTCATCTCCCTCCTGATCAGCTTTGCTATATCCACAATGCCTAGACACGGTAAAAAATAGATTATATTATTAGAAGATACCCCTCATGAAACTTTATATAGACTGTATACTCAATTATATACAGTATATTGCATTCCAAAGGTGTGTGCTTCTATCAAGACAAGACAGTAGCTCTAGACGCTTAGTGGTGCAAGTAGTATAGTAATGCAAACATTATATTGCAGCTGACCTTTACATAATCATCAGCTTCCAGCAAGATCTTTTTCTTTATTTTACTAAGTACACAAACTATACATCTATGGGCAAAGCCTTTTGAACATGCATTTGAAGATACAGTTATTCACAGTACCTCAGGTCACTGCTATGAGGGAGATTTCATGAGTTATTTAGATTTTCAAAATTGGTCAACAGGCTTTTCTAGCAATACAGTAGATAGGAGACTCTGGATAATCTCCAGCAGGGGCGGACTGACAAATCATGGGGCCCCCGGGCAATAGGAGATCATGGGGCCCCTGTGTCCTTGCCCAAACTCAAAAAAGCCTATGAAAAAGGTACCAGGGGCATCTCATGGGGCCCCCTACTGACCCCGGGCCCTCGGGCAGTTTCCAAATGGTCAGTCCGCTCCTGATCTCCAGAATATCTAAGTCATAACTATCACAAGGTATAGATATCTTATAAAGGGCCATACACAAGGGGGTTGATTTACTAAAGATAAATATACTGTACACTGCAAGTTAAGTTGCTCCAGAGCTTAGTAAATGAGGTAAAGCCTCCCTTTGCAAACAATACCCAATCTCACGTAAAGAAAAAAAAAACAGCATTTTTACTTGCACGTTTGGATGATAGAAATCAGCAGCACTTCTCCTCATTTCAGAGCTTCCCCTCAGATCTAGAGCAACTGCACTTGCAGTGCACAGTATATTTGCCTTTAGTAAATCAACCCCAAGGTGATAAGGTCAATCAGCTGAGTTTTTAACTAAAAAGACCTTGGTCATATTTGGGCTACATGTGAATGATTACATTTAAAAGTGAGAGTTCTAAGATGAACATTTGATAAGATGCTGTATGACGTACAAAAAAAAATGTATTCATCATATACTGTAACTATATTTATGATCCTACTAAATATAGTTTTTCCTTGGATGTTGTTTCATTCTATTCACAGAGGGATTATACTGACAATCAACTAGCAGTGAAACCTAACTGTGGCAATGTCTAAAGTTTTAACAGCATTCAGGCTCTCTGTTACTTAAATTTTATTTTTATTCTTAATTTAGTTTGTTTATTCTTCTCTATTATTTTATGTCTTTAAGAGTGAAAAAAAAAATTACCTTCTCCCTATGATGAAGCCAAAAACCATAAAGACCAGAATAATAGTGCCTGCTACGGCAACCACTGCAATTATAATGACAGGATTCTGCTCACTGGTTACAGCGGTAGCTGAAAAAAAACATACGACAAGAGAAAAAACGAATTATTTTAAAACATTAAAAACATTTTAACATATACAACACTATCATACTTGCATTAGTAACAACATCATAAGTCATTAGTCTAATATTTTGATTTTGAAGTTTGCAGTCCAAACCAAATTAGTACTTAAACACCTTGGTTATGCAGAAATTAAAGTATATGTTCAGCCATTTTTTTTTCTGTTTTGAATAGAGTCTAAAAGAAATAGAACCCTTGTGGGGCATATGCTGCTATCTGGCCCTCAATTGGAGAACATTTCTCAGACTTACTATTACAGTGGCAATCTTTAAAAATACACACAGACCTCAAGAACAAGTTGAAAAGGGCATGAGCCTTGCTCTACATTATTAGATGAAAAAAAAACAAAAAAAAAAAAAAACAAAAAACAACAAAAAACAGTATTTTGCTTCTTTCTGTGTTGCTGTTGGAGTTTTTCCCATCATTGTCCTTACTTCCTGCCAGGTTAAACTCCTGTTACCTAAACAGTAAGGCCTTGCTTACTTTGCTTTGCTCTCTGAAGAGTGTTGCAAGTTTGGATTGCTCCTCAGAGAGCATTAGACAAGCAGTGAGGAGGTGTTGTGTCACCTCCTCACTTCCAGCTTTAAACCCCTAAATAGTGGACAACCACATGTAGCATAGGCCCATTTACCTGAATGGGTTGAACTCGGCTGGAGGTACTTCCCACTGAACGTGACAGGAGGTATAATTCCTGCCTGCAGCCATGGCATCTGTACACCCCCAGCTGCCTCTGGAGCAAAAGCAGTTGAGGGGTGATAAAATCGCAACTCAACCATGGGGTTTTACCGCCACCAATTGCAAATGTAAACAAACCCTAAGTGAGTAAAAACCTGAATGAGCTTTGAATAGCATTAAAAACATGACAAGGGTTCTAATCCTTCCCCACTCTATCCAAAACTGTAAAAACAATTTTTTTTCTTAAGGAAACATAAGGGCATATTTTTAAAGCAGTCAATGTGACATTCACTAAACTTTCCCGGTAGCTAAATCAATCACTGTAATTGGAAAATACCCTGGGAATATTCACCTGAAGTGAATGTTTGATGAATGAGCTACTTTACAAATATACTAAAAAAAAAACATTGTTAACAAACAAAATACATATATTGCCATTTATCTCATAAATATATATAAAATAAACTCTTTAGCATTTACTGTGACGAAGCAGTACTGCCAGTGCATACACACACACATACACAACATGTAAAAAATTAATTTTTTATATATATATATATACACACATATATATAAACATATATACATACATATATACATATATATATATATATATACACACACACACACATGTAAGAACATGTCCAAAGGCAAAACAGAACTTTCACAAACCAATTATATTCAGAAGCACAATGTACCTTTCTCACATACATTAGTGTACTTAAACGTAAACTTAGAAAAAACTATTTTTTTTATTGTGAATGGATATTTTACAAGTAAACTTGCTACATACTGTAGAAAAAAGTTGAAAGGTTACCAGTAGCCTCCTCCAGGGTGGTGACATCAAGCCTAGGACTGTACATTCCATAGCCAGCAGCAGTGAAAGCTCGGATTTGAAACACATAAACCGTTCCAGGTCGAAGATTATTGATGGAAGCAGATGTTGATTTTGTTTTCAATGTAGAATATGTACGCTCCCTTTGATCCTAAATATAAAAAATATTTGTGAAACATGTAAATTTTTTTTGAATAATCTGGAAGACTGCAGTTTTCAGCAATAACTGGAACGGGCATGTCCTTCATGCCTATCAAAAGATGTATTTTCACATGATGGTTGAGATGCAACAGATGGCAATATAATTCTGGAACTGAAAAGTGATATTTGAGATTTATAATTTGGTTCAAAAGGTAAAAGTAACTTGGACAATGACTAAACACACGACTATAGTGCCATATTTAGTATGTTTGTTAAAGGGCAATTACTAAATTATATCTTGTATATAAAGGAACTATATGTAATACTTTCAGTTAAATAAATGTAATATATCAGAAATTATTTAAAATATATTGATGCTCATTGCTTTTATGTTACCAAAAACAGCTGACTTTCTGCACAAAAATTGTAATAAAAGACACTGCACTTAGCGTCTTCTCGGCTAATTACATCGCGCAATGGGTTTGTTTTAAAAGCAAGTAGACTACACACTTTGCAAATGCAGTTGCACTCAATTATCCCGAAGCTTAGTGTATATAGTGAAACTCTGATGATTTCCATCATCCAATCACTTGCAAGCAAAAATGGTTTTCACCTGATAAGGTATTCTTTACAAAGTGAAGCTTCACCACATTCACTAAGCTCTAGGGAAAATGAGTGCAACTGCATTTGCAAATTGCACGCTCTGTTTGCCTTCAGTAGATCAACCCCAATGGGTTTCACATACCAGAGCAAGTTCATTAATAATAATAATGCATAGTATTAAATGTCTTACATTTTGTAAAATTTGCATTCTTGGTTTACTATTCAATATTTTAAAAATCAAAACCAGAGGCATGCCTGAAAAAAAAGGTTCATGGGTCTAAACAATAGACTTCCCTTTTTGGTCCTATTTGGTCTACTAAATATACCATTATATATGTTTTGTCATAAAGATTTAAGAAGTGCAAAATAATGCATGTTGATCGTGCCAGCTAATAACAACCTGTGCTCTCTGCCAATGCTACATTCTTACCAGCTATCTCTGTGGACTGCAAAGGAAGATTTTGTATAACTCCCAGAATTCAGCTTTAGGGCTACATTTACACCGGCAATTAAGACTGATGCAAAGTATAGCTGCAGTTCCATCTGTGGTTCTCAGTGGCTCTCAGTGGATAGGTGTGGCCGCCAGCCCCATCCACTATGACCAGTCGCTGACGGCCACAGCTGCATAGCCAATGATTACCTGTAGTGATCACTGCTGGAAGCACACAAAGTGCGTCCAGCAGAGATATTTGTAGATAATCACAGCAGCGAATTGCTGCGGCCACGCTGGCGACCTGTCATTATAGTGAACAGGGCTCGCAGCCCCACCTAGCTGCTGGGAGCCGCAGCAGGAATCTCTGATTATTGCAGCTATTCGCAGCGTCCTAATCACCTAAATTGTCTAATACAGGTGAACAAATAAAACTTCAAGAAGAGAAAAAATATCTAAACTTATATCAAGGTATTTCTAGGTGTCTGCATTTTAGTCATGTAGCCAGTGTACTATAATTGTTTAACTGTCAGGTATATGTTAAGGTCCAATGTTAAATGAGCGAAAGATATGTGACACAATTAGGCCTTCAAAGCGAAATTATACTTTGTCTATTCAATACAAAGTAACAGATTCACATGATAGCTGAGCACCTTCCCCTTCCCTACTGTTTGCCAGCTGGAGCCCTGTGAAAAAGCCTTAAGCAACACCGAGCTACAGACACTCCCTCAGTTCCTGCATGGCAAGAAAGTATGGTTGATTATATACCTTGGAGCCAAAAAATTGTTCCTGCTATCCCTAGCAATAAAAAATTAATTAAAAAAAAAAAATCTAAAGATGCTCTACTATTCAGAAGTCTGTGACAATGACATTTAGGACTTGTTCACAAGGGGCAATTTCAATCATGCTCCTCGCAGTGTTATGTTTGCTGATAAAGGGATGCGCCAGTGTTGAGTGCATCCCTGTGGCAGCAGTCCCATTGTTGTCCATTGGGACACAGCAGCCGTATGGACACAGCCTCTACTCCTAAATGACATCTGTGTGGGTTTGGGTGCACAACCTCGAACCCAGGTAGAATCATCAGCAGTAATAAAGTAAAATAGATAATGTATTTGTACAAACATTCATATGAAAATTCTCAGTACATTCAATGACTTAACAAATATCATTCGAAATTACTTCTTGTTTGTAACAGTCAACTTTGGAATGGATGCAATTTCCAGAAATTAAAAAGACCACATCACTGTTAAATTCAAATTTTCTCACTGTTATGGTTGAAAGCAAACTTCGATTTGACCTCAATAACAATTAGAAAATCAAATGAAACATTTCTACCGAACCTCCACTAGTGTATGGCCAGCTTTACACTGAATCCAAATTAGTCAGCACAGAACTGCATTATTAATGGGAAGCAGCAACATTAAAGCTGCTTAAGGAATGAGGAAGACCAACTGCAGTGAATGAGTCACATGAACGTGATTTCCTTCTTGATCACTTTTTTATGTCTCTAACTGCTGTTTAAAAAAAAATATTCTGTAAAAATTATATCTAAATATATCCTTTTTAAAGGAAAATGATCTATGTAAAGCTGGCCATACACTTATAGATTTTTTTCTATTCAACTTGCAAGCTGAAAAGAAAAAGAAAAATTAACGGATTTCTACTTTCATGCCACACAATGCAGACGGACAAATCTCTTGCTGCAGTTATCAGTTCACAGTTGGCCCAGCTAGCTCTGAAAATACCCAAACAGTGCCTCCATCTGACTGAAAGCAGGTGTTGTAGGGGCTGACAATTTTTTTTTGTTGGGCAGGACGAAAATTCACTCCAAAGATCGGGTTAACAATGAAACGTATTGGTGCTATCACTCTGCTATCTTTACTTACTTTTTGTGAAAGATCTATTCTTACTTTGCTTCAAAATTACTACATTCGTTTTAGTGTGCCGATACATCACCAGAAAAAAAACATCACATTTTCAAAAGACAATTTTTTTAATTTTGTGAAATCTTCTATTACTGTCAGTCTGAGAATCCAAGAAAGGCCAAAATGTTCCATTTTGCCCAATGCCAGCCTACCACTAACTTTAGGTAACAGTGACCAAATATATTTACATTATGAAGAGGCTAAAGCTAGGTATACACATATGCGGGCTGAACTAAAATAATGTAACAGATTCCTCCAGATATACAGTACAGTGCTGATGGAAGAATCTCCCGCAGTGAGTATTGTATTTCGACAGCCAGCCCTGATAGCTGTCAATA